CGCGAACAACTTCGCGCTCTCGCGCCGCCCCCCTGGGGAGGAGAGGAGGATGAGAAATCGGAACCGAACCGCGCAGCGCGAAGCGCGAATCACTTCGCGCCCTCGAGGGCGTACTTGCTGCGCCCGTCCCCCCCATCGATGCCCCTGAGCCCCCCGCTCCTGCCCCCCAATCCTCGGCGGCCGCCAGCGGTCGCCGGCGGCGCTCGGGGGCCCGCCAGCGCGCAGGCCGCTACTGCATGGCTTAGGGGGGTAGGGAGAGGACGCACGCCAGCCCGCCAAAGCGTCCGGAGAGGAGGGGAGGGAGAGGGAGAAGGAGGAGGGGGGAGAAGGAAGGGGGGGGGAGAGGGAAAAGGGGGAAGGGAGGAGAGAGGGAGGAGGAGCAGGAGCAGGAAGGAAGAGGTGGGAAGAGGAGGCGAGGGCGGAGGAGGCAGACGCGACGACGACGCCCACCACGACGACCACGACGAGGTAGTGGAGTTGGCAGGCGTCTTCTGCCCCCCACCGATGGCGTCACCCCTGGCTCTTCTCGCCCCGCCCCGAGCCAAAGCGGCTTCGGTCGGGGCGGCGCGCGGGTTTGGCCGGGGTGGACCGAATCACGGAGGAGAGCGGGAGTGAAAGGGTGGAGGGGGGGCCACGTCTCGAACTCCTCCTCATCCTACTCCTCATCATCATAATCACCACCACCACCACCATCAAAACCATCAAAACCATCATCATCATCATCATCATCATCATCATCATCATCATCATCATCATCATCATCATCATCATCATCATCATCATCATCATCATCATCATCATCATCATCATCATCATCATCATCATCATCATCATCATCATCATCATCATCATCATCATCATCATCATCATCATCATCATCATCATCATCATCATCACCATCATCATCATCATCATCATCATCATCATCATCATCATCATCATCATCATCATCATCATCATCATCATCATCATCATCATCATCATCATCATCATCATCATCATCATCATCATCATCATCATCATCATCATCATCATCATCATCATCATCATCATTATCAACATCATCATCATCAGCAGCAGCAGCAGTATCAGTATCAGCATCAGCATCATCATCAGCATCATCATCATCATCGTCATCATCAGCATCAGCATCAGCATCAGCATCAGCATCAGCATCAGCATCGGCAGCAGCAGCATCATCATCATCATCAGCAGCAGCAGCATCAGCATCAGCATCAGCATCATCAGCATCATCATCATCATCATCATCATCATCATCATCATCATCATCATCGTCATCATGGTCATCATCATCATCATCATCATCATCGCCATCGTCATCATCATCATCGTCATCAGCATCAGCATAAGCATCATCATCATCAGAATCAGCATCATCATAATGAGCATCAGCATCAGCACCCTCATCATGATCAGCACCAGCATCATCATCATCATAATCAGCATGATCATCAGCAGCAGCATGGTCCTCATCATCATCAGCAGCATCAACGTCATCATCATCAACATTATCGTCACCGCCACCACCACCATCATCGCCACCACCGCCACCACCACCATCAGGACCATTATCAGAATCAACATCAGCAGCGTCATCATCACAACCACCAACAACAGCATCATCAGCATCAGCATCAGCATCAGCATCAGCATCAGCATCATCATCATCATCATCATCATCATCATCAAACCATCGAAAGTCCTGCGACCCCGAGCTCACTTGTCTTGAAGGAGCTCTTACGGAACTCACACCGTCCTGACCCCTGGGGCGCGTGGAAGCGAGGCCAACCACGGCGTGTGCCGCGGGGGTCGCCGCCGCTCGGGGCAGCCTCGCAGAATCGGCTCCCCGGGGAGGGGGCCGACGGCGTCGCAGCAAAAGCGCATCCCTCGTCCCGCCATCGCTCGGACGTCCGTTCCCCGAGCGTGTTTCGGCTTCGTGCGTGTAAAATTCTCTCGCGGCATGACCCAGCAAGCTCCTCGATGGTCTTCGCCAATAAGGCCACACACGGGAGTTGGTCCGCGCTGGGGGCCCAGCGATTTTGAGGATTCTGGCGGGTACCCAAAAAAAACGGGAAGGGAAAGAGATAGAGAAAGGGAGAAAGAGAGGTATTCGCTGCCGTGCCCCGCCCTTCCTCCTCGTCGTCGGCGTCCTCCTCCTCTTGCTCCTCCAATCCCACCAGCTCTCTGGGCGTAGGTGGTTTAGGGCGTTTCCTCGTCCACCCCTCCCTCTTCCCCTTCGGGGAAGGGTTTATCACTGTTCCGTATGAATGGACACCCCCTCCCCCAGGCGACTGGTAGCCAACCAGGAACCATGAGGGCCCCCCCACACCATCCCTTTGTAAAAAACATGCGAACACCCACTCTGCCTCCAAATTCGGAGCATGCGCAACCAACCCGATGCGGCCTCCCCCCACCATCCCTGTCAAAAAAAACAATACATATTACACTTGGCGGCGGCGGCGGCGGCGGCGGCGGCTGCGGCGGTGGCGGCGGCGGCAGTGATTGGGCAGCGGAGGCGGCGGCGACGGCGGCGGCGACGGCGCGGCGGCGGCGGCGGGCAGCGGCGGCAGCGGCGGCGGCGGCGGCGGAGGCGGCAGCGGAGGCGGCGGCGGCGGCGGCGGATTGGCCCCCAGTAGCTGCCCATCCAAAGACGAGTGCTGAATATGCTGAGGCTCGGGCCAGACTTGGGTGCTACGTATGTGTTGGGAGGGTGGGTGGGAGTGAGCGAGACGGCTTGCGGGCGGGGAGAGAGTCTTGACCCCTCCCCCTACCCAGCGGAATCCTAGCACTCCCTCAGGAATCCTAAGAATCCCTATGGAATCCGAGGAAGCCCTGAGGAATCCTAGGAGCCCCTAAGGATTCCTCAAGGAATCCAGGGAATCCTATGAATCCCTTTGGAATCCTGGGGATCCATATGGAATCGTAAGACCCCTGAGGAAATCAAAGAATCCGTAGGGAGTCCGAGGAAACCCTAGAGAATCATAAGAATCCCTAAGGAATCATAAGAATCCCCTAAGAAATCATATGAATCCACATGTAATCCTAAGAATTCCTAGGGCATCCTAGGAATCCCTGTGGAATCAGAAGAATCCTTCAGGAATCCTACGAATCCCTAAGGAATCCTATGAATCCATTTGGAATCCTAAAAACCCCTAGGAAATCCTAGGAATCCCTATGGTACCCGAGGAATCCTTCAGGAATCCTCGGAATTCCTCGAGAATCCTCGGAATCCAATGGAATCTGAACAGCACCTAAAGAATCCTGGGGATCCCTAGGGAATCGTAGGAATGCATAATGAAGCAAAGGAACCCCTAGGGAATCCCAATGGAATCCTAGGAATCCCTAGGAAATCTTGGGAATCCCTAGGGAACCCGAGGAATCCTCAAGGAATCCTAGGATTCCTTTACGGCAACCCACGCATTCCAGCGAGCTGACGCAATCCTACAGGATCTTTATGGAATCCTATAGCACCCCTATAGAATCCCATTGAATCCATATGGAATGCCATAGGGTCCATCTGGAATCCGATAGGACCCCTTATGGAAGCCTATAGAATCCCTATGGAAACCGGTAAGATCCCTGGAAGGAAAGCTTTAGGACCCCTATAGAATCCTAGAAGTTCCCTATGGGACCCTATACCATCATAGAAGCGCCGCCACGGGCGGGGAGGGCTCTTTGAGTTCTTCGGGGGGGGGCAAAGGACCACGCAACGGGGTGCACAGATAGGGTTCCTTGAAAGAAGAAGAAGAAGAAGAAGCATAAACTGGAGAAGAAGAAGAAGAAGACAAGGAAGAATACGAACGACGTAGAAAGGAGGAACCTAAGACGAAGAAGGACAAAAGAACGGCGTAAAAAGAATAACGGCGTAACAAGAAGATGACGAAGAAGACGAATAATAGGAAGAAGGCGAAGAAGAGTGGCGTTAAAAATTACCCTGGCGTCGTACCCAACCCCTGCGCAAACGCGGGGCGCAAATAGCTTAGGACACTTTATAAGGGGGCGATGACGGAGCGAGGGTTACATATGTCTGCAGACGGAATTCGGGAGATTCGCAGGACACTGGCTCACTGTGGTCCCCCAGCAGGCCTCGAAAGTGGCGACGGTTTCACAGATCGCAGCCCCCCCAGGGATGGCGAGGTCTAATTTGAATCTGCGTGTGGCGTCACTGTGCCGGGCCCCCCAGCAGACCTCGAAAGTGGCGACAGTTTCACAGATCGCAGCCCCCTAGGGATGGCGAGGTCTAATTTGGGTCCGCGCGTGGCGTCACTGTGCTGGGCCCCCCAGCAGGCCTCGAAAGTGGCGACGGTTTCACAGATCGCAGGCCCCCTAGGGATGGCGAGGTCTAATTTGGGTCCGCGCGTGGCGTCACTGTGCTGGGCCCCCAGCAGGCCTCGAAAGTGGCGACAGTTTCACAGATCGCAGCCCCCCCCGGCGAGGTCTAATTTGAATCTGCGTGTGGCGTCACTGTGCTGGGCCCCCCAGCAGGCCTCGAAAGTGGCGACAGTTTCACAGATCGCAGCCCCCCAGGGATGGCGAGGTCTAATTTGTGTCCGCGCGTGGCGTCACTGTGCTGGGCCCCCCAGCAGGCCTCGAAAGTAGCGACAGTTTCACAGATCGCAGCCCCCCGCGGGCAAGACAGGAGGAGGCAGGCAGGAGGCAGGAGGGAGGCGGGAGGAGACGCGCGAGCAGTGCTCTATTCAAAACGAATACCCAACCAAGGAGGATTGGGAATAAAGCAGGAAGCAGGACGCAGGAGGAGGGAGGGAGGCAGGAGGAAAGAAGGTGGAGACCACAGTCCCTCATTCAAAACGAATACCCAACCAAGGAGGGTTGGGAAAAATCGTCCAAGGTCCGCGCGGATCTCTTGGATCGGGGCCGGACCGCCCTCCCCAGGGCGCGGCGCCGGGGGCGGCGCCGGAGGCGCCACACAGGGGGGGTCCAGCGCCGACCCTCGAAAGCCACGCGCGCCTCCGAATAGT